GATTGTGGGGCTGGCGCGGGATCGGGCAGTGTTTCATTCTGCTGTGCATGGGGTCGCTATGAGTCGGAAAGGACTCGACGGCACTTAACAACAACAACAACAACAATGTCCTCCAAGTCCACCCATGTTATATGGAGTTTTGCAGATTGTTATTCTTCAGGGTTGCATAGTATTCCATTACGTTCGTGTACCATTGTTTGGTTATCCATTCTTCTGTTGATGGGCACTTAGGTTGTTTCCATCTTTGTGCTATTGTAAATAATGCTGTGATGAACTTGGGTGTGCATATATCTGTTCTTGTCCTGGCTTTCACTTCTTTAGCATATATACCTAGTAATGGGATTGCTGGGTCAAATGGTATTTCTAATTCCAACTTTTTAAGGAATCAGCATACTGCTTTCCAATTGTGGGTATTGTTTGTGAGTTCTGTGTGGCCATTGCAATGAATTACCCAACCCAGCAGAGAGGTAGTGAGTGCTGTGGGTGGGACCTTTGGTGTCAGAGTTGGTAAAAAGGCTTGTCTGGCCTCATAGGAATAAGCCTTGGGCTGTTGATGGTGATGCTGTTTCCCCCTTGTGAGGTTGGAGGAAATCAGAAGATGCTGCCTCCATGCCCATTTTGCAAGCCCTTAAACCCAGCCACCATGTTAGAAGGAAACTCTAACACTCACTTACATATAGCTACATGGAGAAGTTATATGTAAGTGTTCTGGCTCTAGCTAAAATCTCAAGTCATAGCCAATGTTAACCTGTAGACATGCAAGTGACCCTTCAGATGGTACCAACCTTCCAGCCTTCTAGATACCTCCACTACCCCCAGTGGGCTCTGCCCCAAATACAGATTTGTGAGCAAAGTAAGTGTTTTTTAAGTCATAAAGTTTTGGGTAGTTTATTCCATAGCTCTAGATAACTGGAAATAACACATACAGAACACTCTAAAGGGTATCCAGCAGTGTTTCCCAAACTGTGGTATATGTATCACACTTCAAGTGGAAAAGGGTTACATTTTTCTTTCAATTTTCAGAGTTAATGCTTACATGTAGAGTCCCCTGGTGGCAAAAATGGTGAGTGCTTGGCAACTAACTAAAAGATTAGAGGACAGAATCTACCCAGAGGCACCTAGAAAGAAAGGTCTGGCAATCTTCCCAAAGGTCACAGCCATGGAAAATCCTATGTTCAGTTTGATTCTAAAACACATGGGGTCATCATGAGTTGGAATTGATTCCATGGCACCTGGATTTTTGGTTTATACTTAAATGTATTAGGAAAAGATATAATTTAGCCTTTCTTGGGACAAGTTTATAGAAGGTATGTAAGTTTAAAAAGTAAATTAAAGAAAAATATTAAATAACATAATTGCAGAGATGTTGTTGTTGTTATTACGTGCCGTCGAGTAGGATCTCTCCTTGGCTTTCAAAGGCGGTATCACTAGGGAAGTAGACAGCCCAAACTTCCTTCTGAGGAGGGGCTGGTGGGTTTGAACCACTAGCCTCCTGGTTAGCAGTCAAGTGTCTTAGGCACTACACTACCAGAAGGCAGTATGTTCCTGAATGTCTCAATTTTGGGAAACACTAACCAACCCTCAAATGTTAAAAGTGTTCAAATGAAGGAATTGTGGATGATTTTTTTTTTTTTTTTGCTTATGTTTATATAAAAAAGTATTACTTGGTTATATTATTTATTTGTATTAATTATATAGCAAAACAAAGTTATTAAAACAAAAAGTAGTATAAGTTTTTATTATCTATTAAATATAGAAACTTTTTTTTTCAAAACATGATTAGATAATTAAACAGTTAACAGCACTTAGTTGATGGTAAGTATCAGTTGAGGAGTCATAAATAAGGAAGACTGAAGAAGAGTTGATGCTTTTGAGTTGTGGTGCTGGCAAAGAATGCTGAAAGTACCGTGGACTGCTAAAAGAACTAACAGATCTGTCCTGGAGGAAGTGTAGCCCAAATTCTCATTGAAGTGAGAATGGCCACGTCTCACCTACTGCTGTCATGTTGTCAGAAGGAACAATTCCCTGGAGAAGGATGTCATACTTAGTAAGGTGGAGGGTCAACGAAGGAGGGGAAGGCCTTCAACGAGATGGATTGACACGGGTGGCAGCGACAATGGGCTCAAGTATAGCAGGGATCATGGAGCTGGTGCGGGATTGGGCGGTGCTTCCTTCTGCTGTGTATGGGGTCGCTATGAGTTGGAAACAATTCAACAGCACCTAACAACAACAACAAGAAGTATCAGTTCCTGTCTATTCCCTAATGACCAAAAATGTTCAAGTACAAGAGAGAGAATGGCAGATCTGGGATGTAGTTGAAGAGCTCTAGAACAGGTCAGATTGCATGAGATGACATCTAAAACTCCTTTCAATTCTGACATTGCATGATTAAGCAATTAAGTGGGATAATACAAGTACGTAGTTTGTATTAAATATCTATTGTGTTATTAGCATCATAGATTGTGCATGGGAGGTGGGAGTGTGAAAAAAAATCGGGTGGGAGGGCGGGCATATGCAAATCTCAGCCCACCTTCTCACTGACAGCTGACTCTCTATTTTGTGAATGAGCAGTGGTCCTTAGGCCTCACAGTTGGCACAATCAGTGAGAAACACAACTTTAAAAAGGGAACTATTTTTCAAGGAGCACACGGGTGAATCAACCCGGCGGAGCAGTGGAGAGCCTTTTCCAATCGCTTGCGGTGGTGAAGGACACTCAGGGCCCTGGGATTCTTGGCAGCACAGGACGACCCGGTATCGGTCTCCTTTGGTAAAGAAAGAGCGTGGTGTAAGGGCCTCTCCTCCTGGACCTCACCTGACTTTCACTGACCAGAACCCGAAAGTCGCGTGCTCCATTCGAGCAGACTACGTGTGACCGCGCGTGGACGAAGGAGGTTCCCGAAAGGCTCAAGAGCGGCCCGCACGTGCTCGCCGCGGGGTGGCGGGACAGGGCGGAGGCAGCTTGCGAGCTGGGAGGCGGGGCCGCTCGCAACTGTGGGGCGGGGGCTGGGCGCCAGCTGCGCGCGCGCGAGGTGGGGGCGGAGCGCGCATCGTGGCCTGGGGTTGACCGGCGCTCCTCCCCCTTCCGGGCCCAGGCCCACGGCGGGCGGAGCTCCTCCCCCGGCTCGTTCTCTCTCCTTTCCCACCCCCTCCCCTCTGGCCGGCCGTTCCTCCCTCCCTCCTCCTCCTCTTCTTCGGTGAGGCGCTCCTAGCAGGCAGCATGGCGGCTGTCGAGACGCGGGTGTGCGAGACAGACGGCTGCAGCAGCGAGGCCAAGCTCCAGTGCCCCACCTGCATCAAGCTGGGCATCCAGGGCTCGTACTTCTGCTCTCAGGTAGACGCCTGCTTCCCCGCGGCGCCGCTGTCGGACCCGCTCCACTTTCTCGCGTCGCGCCCTCGTAGCCGGTCGGAACGCGCTCCTCCTCTTCCTCTGGCGGGCGCGCTGGCCGCCCTTCCTCCTCCCCCCCGACCCTCAGCGTCGCCGCCCCCTCGGGACTCCAGGGGTCCCGGTCCCCTTGGGACAGAGGCCGCGCTGGACGCCGCGTGGGGGCGCGGTCGGTCGCGGCCACGTGAGCTGGAGGCGGAAACGGACTTACCCCAGCCACGCCAGTATGCCGCTTTAAGGGCTGGTTCCTTCCCTACATCCTCTACCTGGGCAGGGGCTGCCAGGTGTTCGGGACACCTGGGGCAAGTGGGAGCGCCAGGGGATGGGAACAGCCACAGCCGTGCAGGTCATGGCAACCGCCGCTCCTGGCGGGGCTCTGGCCCGGGCTTGGGGGCCTGTGGGGCTGGGTAGTCACTTTGGGCCCGGTTGGATTGGAGAGCGGAAGCGACCTGATGGGCTTTGAGAAGTGGGCAGCCTGGGGGCGGCGACTGACGGTGGGAGTAGGTCCTGCTAGCTCAACTTCTTTGTGTTTTACACCGTACTTTGACACTTAAGCAACTTTGGGAGTGGAGAGGGGCCTGTGTAATTCGTTTCTTTTATTTGGCATACATAATTGTTAATTTAAACAATCATAAGCCAATGGGATGAGTCATCTCTCTATTACTGAAGGTCTCATTGAGTGAAAAAGGCGGTTCCATTGAGGGGTTATGCTTTAAGGGCGTTTTGTGAGTGGAGTAAACCCAGCATTGAATGGGGTCCTGACGGAAGCTTGTGCTCCTGTTTTTGTTTACTGCAGAGTAAGTCCTAGTGTTCTTGCTGCATTTTGACACAATATCGGCAGGGCAGGAGTCGCGTGGCTTAGTTACAGTCTATGTTTGTTGAAGAGAGGTAGTGTCCTGGGGGCGAGAAGAGTATGAAGTTCTGGTAAGGCCAGTTACTGTGCGATCTTGAATTAGTCAAGTTAACCCTGAGCTCCAACCTGACCACATACTCAGAGGGGACAATGATAGTTTTTCTTAATACGTTTCACAAGATTGTTCTGAGACCCAAGTTAGCCAACGAATGTGAAAATGTTGGTAAAATATTATTTTTTTTTAAAAAGGATGAAATACAATTCAACAATGTCATATTAAAAATAGAGTGAAAATACATAAAAATTGTAAACACAAGTAATAAAAGTATTTTAAGGTGTAAAATATATAATTATGTGAAAACAAGCATGTATAAATAAAATTCTTAAGGTCACAAACATTTGTGGCTAGGGTATTGTAAGAGATATTAGGTAAATTGTGTAGGGTTTGTTGATAGCTAGGATATGATCCTTGACCTTGTTAGTATCATTTGAAAAAAGTTGCACAGGGAGAAGCTTGCTTGCTCTAAAAATAGCACTGGGACTACTCAACATGTTAAACCTGTTACAGGTCCTTTTGATTTTTTAAATTAATTTTTTAATTCTAGTTTGTTGAGGCCTGTGTGAGACCTGGATGTAAAACAAAGGACAGTGATTTGCTTTTGGACATTATATACCCTCTGAGTAATGTGGTTTAGACTTTGAGTGTTTAAAATTAAGTGACATTTTGTAATCCTATGTAAATTATTGGGAGCTCTGGTAGCATAATGCCTAAGGCACTTGACTGCTAACCAGAAGGTTGGCTTTTCAAACCCACCAGCCACTCCTTGGAAGGAAGATGGGGCAATCTACTTCGGTAGTGATACTGCCTCTGAAACCCAAGGAGGGGTCGCTATGAGTTGGGTCTGACTCAACAGCACATAACAACAACATGTAAATTATTATGTACTAACATCTGTATGGGAGCTCTGGTAGCATAGTGGCTAAGGCACTTGACTGCTAACCAGAAGGCTGGCGGTTCAAACCCACCAGCCACTCCTCGGAAGGAAGGTTGGGCAATCCTACTTCCGTAGTGATACTGCCTCGGAAACCCAAGGAGGGGTCGCTATGAGTCAGGGCTGACTCGACGGCACATAACAACAACAACAACAACAACATCTGTATGCATTTAAGCTTCTAAAGTAATATAAACCATGTTCATCAAGCATAGATAACATTCTTTTATGTATATTATTAGCAGAAGGAACATTGAATCATTGGGGTTTGTAGAAAAATGCATTGGAAAACATTCAGGTTTTATTCAATATGATAGGATTGGAGGAGTCCATGTTCGCTTCTGTAGGTATTTTTCTGTAAACCACTGCTATACTTGTAATCAGGTAGATCCAGAGTGGCTCTTACAGAAGTCTTTTTGCTTCATTCATATTACCATCTCCCATGGCCAGTTTTTGAAACTTTCCCACCAAGTCAGGAATGGTAGTCTCTTAATTCGTTTTCTTATTGTTCCTGCCTTGCAAAGTTGTTGTTATGTGCCGTTGAGTCAGACCTGACTCATAGTGACCCCTCCTTGGGTTTCTGAGGCAGTATCACTGTGGAAGTAGATTGCCCAACCTTCCTTCCGAGGAGTGGCTGGTGTATTTGAACTGCCAGCCTTCTGGTTAGCAGTCAAGTGTCTTAGGCACTATGCTACCAGAGCTCCTCCTTTTAAAGTTAGTTGTCATCAAGTCCATGCCAATTCTTGGTAGAACTGTGCTCCATGGAGTTTTTTCAGTGGCTAATTTTTTGAAGATAGATTGTCACACTTTCTTCCAAGATGCCTCTGGATGCACTTAAACCTGTAACTTTTTGGTTAGCAGCTAAGTGCATGCAGAAGTTATTTCCCCCCTGCATAGTATGATTATGTTTATCCCTGCCCTCCCATTTCCCCAGGTAACAAATGGGAGTTCCTGCAGGATTGTTGTTGTTATGTGCTGTCATGTGGGACCCAACTCACAGCGACCCCTCCTTGAGTTTCCAAGGCAGTATCACTACGGAAGTAGATTGCCCTACCTTCCTTCCGAGGAGTGGCTGGTGGGTTTGAACCACCAGCCTTCTGGTTAGCAGTCAAGTGCCTTAGGCACTACGCTTCCAGAGCTCCCCAAAATCCATGGCCTAGGAGTTGATTCTTACGACTCATAATGACCCCTCCTTGGGTTTCTGAGGCAAGTAGATTGCCCAGTCTTCCTTCCAAAGAGGGGCTGGTAGGTTTGAACTGCCAGTGTTTTGGTTAGCAGTCAAGTGCCTTAGGCACTATGCCACCTATAGCCCCCTAATCGGGGCATCTGTTCTAGTTACAACTTACTTTCTTCCTCTATCCAGATGCTGTGTTTATACCTTCTCCTTTACCCAAGGTATCACCTGTCTTCTAAATCTGATCAAGCTTGATCAAGTTTAGTAACATCTCCTAAGTTATTTTCTACATTTGTGATTCAGTGATGAAATAAGGTATTTCCTTGTCACTTCTCTGATTATCTTCAGTGGGAATAATCTCTCTTCCCCCTACCTCTCACTTCTCTGGTCCTCAGCCTGGCTATCTGGCCATCTTGTCTTTGGGAACAAACTGAGAACAAAACTTCAAGAGGCCTATCCAGAATACCATAACAGAAATAAGCCATTCCCAGTTCCTCCTGGCACTACCTTGTGTATTTCCTTTATAACATTGTTATTATCTCATTTGTTTTCTTGTTTATAATCTATCTTTTAGTCAGAAGATCAGTTTCATGAATAAGCTGTTTGTTCACTGCACTATTCTCATTTCCCAGTATACCTTTGCATATGCTGCAGGTGCTCAATGAATGCTTATCAATAGATAAATGTATCAGGCAGTAGAATAGAGAGACTGCTACGTTTGAATCTGGACTCTATCATTGACTGTGATTTTAGGCAAATTAGTTAACCTTTCTGTGCTTCAGTTACATTATTCTAAAATGGTACATTAATAGTACCAACTTCAGTGTTTTTGTGATTAAGTTCTCAGTGTACATAAAACTTTCAGCACGTTGGCAAACTTAATAAATATTAGCTCTTTTTATTATTAGACTGTGCTTGTATTTAGAAAGGTAGAAATACTTAGGATGCTTAATTTTCAGGAAAATTTGGGTCCTTTTAAGGAGTAAAACTTGAGTTTTACTTGAAAACCAAGTTCTTTGCTAGAAGTAGCCATTCTTATATAATAGTAATTTGTATGTCTTATTTACCCTAGGAGTTTGTAAGAGTTTTTTGAGGATGGAGCTCTACTGTACTCATTTTTGTATTTCTTTAAGTGTCTTGGGTAGTACAGATGGTTGCAGTGCTTGACTTCTAGCCAAAATGTTGGCAGTTTGAACCCATTCAGAAGCACCTTGGAAGATAGGCCTGGAGATCTGCTTCTGAAAGGTCACAACCTTGAAAATCATACGGGACAGTTTTTCTCTGCACATGTGGGGTTGGCGTGAGTTGGAATTAACCCACTAGCAACTAACAACAAGAAGGACCTTGCACATACTAGGTGCTCAGTTCATTTAAATGGAAGAAAAGAGATTGATGGGCTGCAGTGGAAAGCAAATTCTGCATTCAAATCTTTAGTGAACAACATAGGGCAGATGCTGTATTGTCCTGAGTTAAATGATCAATTGGGAAGGGGTTGAATGATGTGCAGTGGTTTTTTATTTTAAGGCATAAGAAGTTGAAAGGTAGTATAGAGTTCAGTGCCAGGAGGCTGGGTTTGGAGTCAGACCCCAGTTTCAGTATTTGCTGCCATGTCCTTTGAGTAAATTGTTTCCCAATTTCTAAGAAGGGGTTTATGGTACGTGTTCTAGGGGGTTGAGGGAGAGATGAATAAGAGATCATGCCAAGTACCTACCACCTACCAGTGTTCAGTAAATGGTTTCATTAAGCATACAGTCTCATATTTAATACTAGCAAAAACCAGTTATAAGGAAGATTTTAACGTGTTTGAGAAGAAATGAACAAATTCTTGCAACAGGTGTTTTCAAAGAAGCAGTGACAAAATAATGTGATTAACTTAATTAACTCCAGGAAGAAATCTGGTTGGGCATATATTGGAGCTGGAAAGTAAGGA